CTGGTCACAGCTGACCTCCAGCTGGAGCGCTCAAGGGCCAGGGCTTCCCAGTTCTCAGTGTCTATGCCAGAGTTTTAAGGTTGGCTTTGAGCCCATCTTTAAATCTCTTTTCCTGTCCACCAACATTCCGTTTTCGGTTCTTGAGTTCGGAGTAGAGCAACTGCTTTGGGAGACGGTGGTCGGGCATCCGGACTATGTGGCTGGTCCAGCAGAGTTGATAGCGGAGGACCATTGCTTCAGTGCTGGTGGTCTTTGCTTCTTCCAGCACGCTGACGTTTGTCCGCTTGTCTTCCCAGGAGATTTGCAGGATTTTCCGGAGGCAGCGCTGATGGAATCGTTCCAGGAGTTGCATGTGACGTGTCGTCCACGTCTTGCAGGCATATAGCAGGGTTGGGAGGACAATAGCTCTATAAACAAGCACCTTGGTATCCCTACGGATGTCCCGGTCCTCAAACACTCTCTGCTTCATTCGGAAAAATGCTGCACTCGCAGAGCTCAGGCGGTGTTGTATTTCGGTGTCGATGTTGACTTTGGTGGAGAGGTGGCTGCCAAGGTAGCGGAAATGATCAACATTTTCTAATGTTACACCATTAAGCTGTATCACTGGCATTGGAAAGGGGTTGGCTGGTGTCTACTGGAACAGCACTTTGGTTTTTTCAATGTTCAATGACAGGCCGAGCTTCTCGTATGCTTCTGCAAAGGTGTTTAGAGTGGCTTGTAGATCTTCTTCTGAATGTGCACAGACAACGTTGTCATCAGCATACTGGAGTTCTATAACAGATGTTGTTGTAACCTTGGTTTTGGCTTTCAGTCTGCTGAGGTTAAACAGCTTGCCATCTGTCCGACAGATGATTTCCACTCCGGTGGGAAGTATACACCCAACTAATCTTTCCTATAGCCCAACATATACAGACCTAAGCCATTACCATTCTTGTGTGCCTCCTAGTCTTTTTCAACTAATAGTGACTTTCAGGGAACCCATCAGCAGGATTTGTTAAGGGAGGCCGTCTCTGCTGTCATCACACTTGAGAATGAATCCACTTTAAATCTGGTTGCTGCCTCCTGCAGAATTCTGGGTTTTGTAGTTTAGGGAGGAGCTTTTAACATCTTCTTCCGAATGCATACATATATTCACATGCATATATACATATATACACACAAATATGCATATAGACAAGTACACACATATACACAATATGCATGTACACACACACACACACACACACACATATATATGCAAACACACATATATACACAAATATATTGGAATATTGTGTCCAATTTTCACCCCAAAAAATTGGACACAATATTCCAATATATTTGTGTATATATGTGTGTTTGCATATATATGTGTGTGTGTGTACATGCATATTGTGTATATGTGTGTACTTGTCTGGGGTGAAAATTGCTGGAAGAAACATTGACAACCTCAGATATGCAGATGACACCACTCTGATGGCCGAAAGCGAGGAGGAGCTGAGGAGCCTTCTAATCAAGGTGAAAGAAGAAAGCGCAAAAGCCGGGTTGCAGCTAAACGTCAAAAAAACCAAGATTATGGCAACAAGAATGATTGACAACTGGAAAATAGAGGGAGAAACCTTGGAGGCCGTGACAGACTTTGTATTTCTAGGTGCAAAGATTACTGCAGATGCAGACTGTGGCCAGGAAATCAGAAGACACTTACTTCTTGGGAGGAGAGCAATGTCCAGTCTCAATAAAATAGTAAAGAGCAGAGACATCACACTGGCAACAAAGATCCGCCTAGTCAAAGCCATGGTATTCCCTGTAGTCACCTACGGATGTGAGAGCTGGACCTTAGGGAAGGCTGAGCGAAGGAAGATCGATGCTTTTGAACTGTGGTGTTGGAGGAAAGTTCTGAGAGTGCCTTGGACTGCGAGAAGATCCAACCAGTCCATCCTCCAGGAAATAAAGCCCGGCTGCTCATTGGAGGGAAGGATACTAGAGACAAAGTTGAAGTACTTTGGCCACATCATGAGGAGACAGCAAAGCCTACAGAAGACAATTATGCTGGGGAAAGTGGAAGGCAAAAGGAAGAGGGGCCGACCAAGGGCAAGATGGATGGATGGCATCCTTGAAGTGACTGGACTGACCTTGAGGAGCTGGGGGTGGTGACGGCCGACAGGGAGCTCTGGCGTGGGCTGGTCCATGAGGTCACCTCTATTCTGCTCTGGTTAGACCACACCTGGAATATTGTGCCAATTCTGGGCACCACAATTCAAGAGAGATATTGACAAGCTGGAATGTGTCCAGAGGAGGGCGACTAAAATGATCAAGGGTCTGGAGAACAAGCCCTATGAGGAGCGGCTTAAGGAGCTGGGCATGTTTAGCCTGAAGGAGAGAAGGCTGAGAGGAGATATGATAGCCATGTATAAATATGTGAGAGGAAGCCACAGGGAGGAGGGAGCAAGCTTGTTTTCTGCTTCCTTGGAGACTAGGACGCGGAACAATGGCTTCAAACTACAAGAGAGGAGATTCCATCTGAACATGAGGAAGAACTTCCTGACTGTGAGATCCGTTCAGCAGTGGAACTCTCTGCCCTGGAGTGTGGTGGAGGCTCCTTCTTTGGAAGCTTTTAAACAGAGGCTGGATGGCCATCTGTCAGGGGTGATTTGAATGCAATATTCCTGCTTCTTGGCAGGGGGTTGGACTGGATGGCCCAAGAGGTCTCTTCCAACTCTTTGATTCTATATACACACACATAAACACATGTATACACACACAAAACATATACACAGACTGGGCCACAGCAACGCGTGGCAGGGGACGGCTAGTTAGTAATATTATGTAAACTTTTTTTTATTGATTTTATATCAGTAATAAACATATAACAATAACAGTAACACACAGTACAAATTACAAATACCCATGACAAGACAGTAACACACAATACAAGTGCACATGACAAACATGACGAACCGGAAAAAAAAACCCTTAATTTCGTGCGTAACATCAAATTGGCATATATATATATGTTTACTCGCGTTCTTTGTTGTCCCCCCCTAGTCCTCCTCCCTTGGTTGATCTTACTTAATACCTGGTTTGGTTAATTTCTTCTTGTTCCTTTTCCCTTTTCGTTTCTCCCCCCTTTCACTCCTTCGTTATCAGTAATCGGGGATGGTGGGGGCAATGGTGAGGGGGTAGGGGAAATGAATTCGCAGTGGATTTGAGTTTGCTAGCTCCAAATAAAGGAAACATTAGGGTCCATGAAACCTTAGGATTGGGTTACCTGGGGAGGGGGGGAAATTGTGAGACCTAATTGTAACTATACCCACCACCTTGAGTAACCCTAGTGACATTAAAAGCACTTCCAAGGATATTCTGGGCAGTAGTTATTGTAGTGGGCAGTAATTTGCCCTTTTGTTCTACTTGATTGTCATACATCGGATGGCTACTATCATTCCCTTGAGAGCTTTCGCTATTCCATACTGATATTAATTTTGTTATTTGATCTGTTAATGTATTCTATAAAGCTTTTCCAATTAGTTTTTGGTGGTTTAGGTATGTTTTGAGATATTTTATGGGTTAGGATATCCATGTTCATTATATCCCATACTTTTAACAACCAATGGTCTATCGAGGGGATTTCTTTAGATTTCCAAACCCTAGCAATAACTGTTCTAGCTGCCGTGGTGAAATAAAAGAACAGTTTGTCGGAGTTTTTGTTTTGGAGGGGGTCTGTAATTCCCAGCAACATTGCTTCCGGTTTAAGTTTTATTTTCTCTCCTAGTATTATCTGTATGGTTTTGTTAACTTTTTGCCAGAAGTTTTTTATTCTCCTACACTTCCACCATGTGTGGATGTAGCTTCCTTTATGTCTTCCACATTTCCAACATGTATTTTTGATTTTCCCCTTACTAAATTTGGATATCCTGTCCGGTGTATAGTACCATCTGTAAAATTGTTTATACCAGTTTTCTTTCATCTCAGTTGAATATGTGTATTTGATTTTTTGGCGCCAGACCTCCTCCCACTCTGTCATATTTATTGGTCTACCTATATCTCTAGACCATTGAATCATGTTGTGTTTGACCTGGTCTATTTCCGTTGCCCATGTTAAGAGTTGCTGATAAGTTCTTTTGATTAGCTTGGTCTCGGTTTTGAGTATTTTGTCCCAGAAGGTTTCTTGAATCTGGAATCCACTTTTGACGTCGATTCTATAGTTCTCTAATATTTGCTGGTATTGGAACCAGGAGATAGATTCGTCAAGTTGTTTGAGTTCTTCCTGGGATTTTAGTTTAATTTCGCGAGGGTCTTTTTTCAGAAGTTGGGCGTAGGTAAGCCATTTTTTTCTCGGCAGGTCTCTCATGTGTTGGGCTTCGTTCGGTGAAAACCATAAGGGAGTTCTTCTATAGAATCTGTCTTTGTATTTGTCCCAGACTTTGAGAAGTGCAGCCCTACTTGGATGGTTTTTGAAACACTCTTCCAACTCTTTGATTCTATATACACACACATAAACACATGTATACACACACAAAACATATACACAGCTGGGCCACAGCAACGCGTGGCAGGGGACGGCTAGTTAGTAATATTATGTAAACTTTTTAATGTAAAAATATTATGTAAGAAATGTAAACATGACCGCCTGTTGCTCACCCACGCGGCCGTTCCGCAGCCGTTGTCCCAAGGGCCGCTTCTCCCCCGCCGGCGCCGCGTTGGAGGGATCCGTCATGGTCGCTGGGGAAAGAAAGGGCTGAGGAAGCGTTTCCAGCCGGACGGCAAAGCGCGACGCGCCGACCTTGGCCCCGCCCCTTAGGTGAGGCCGTTGGGGGCGCCACGCGCGTGTAGAGATAGCCATGTGAAGAGTGATGCGTGCGCATGCGCAAAGACATACACCTTCCCTCTTGGGCGCCTTTTGGGCCTGTGGTGCCGCCTGAGGCCTGTTTGACGAAACTCGAGGCAAGTCCCACAGAACTGGAAAGGGAATGGCTGCTGCAGGACTTTGAAGCATTATTTCATGTAATTTCGGCTTGAAATGTTTGACTGGAACTGTTTTTCTATACGTTCTAAGTCTATGGCCGAAGGAAAGGCCGGCCACTGTGAGGAGGAGGAGGAAGAATAAGAAGGGCACTTCCGGGGCTTCCGTGGCAGCCACCATTAGGCCTTCCTCGGTTAATGGAACTAAGAGGCTGTGAGGCGGGATAAAAGGGGGTCGGGGCAAGGCAAGCCGGCCCCTCAGTTCCTTTGCGGTGTGGGCGCTTTGAGGCCAACGCTTCCCAACCTTCTGGGCCTGCCAAGCGCTTTGGACTTTGACTCCCAGAAGCCCCGGCCTACTCTCAGGAATTCTGGGAGCTGGAGTCCAAAGCCCTTGGGCCCAAAGGGTGGGAAGCCCTCGCTTAGGCCACGAACCCCTTCAGACTCCTGTCAAAACCAGCTCCACCCCTTTCCCTTTTCAGGATAATCCGGCTCCGGCATGGCTGCTTCCGAGGAGCTCAAGTTCCACGGTGAGTTGTTGTTTATGTTTTAAACACGTAACTAGAATTAATTAATTAATTCAACTTGAGACAACCTTTAATGGTCAAGGGGCCCTTCCACACAGCCCTATATTATAGAATATAAAGGCAGAAAATCCCACATTATCAGAGTGCGGACTCCGATAACCCAATTCAAAGCAGATATTGTGGGATTATCTGCCTTGACATTCTGCGATATAGGGCTGTGTGGAAGGGCCCAAGGTTCAATGCTATGGAATCCTGGGAGTTGTAGTTTGGTGAGGCCCTAGAACTCTGTGGCAGAGAAGGCTAAATTATTATTTGTTATTATTATTATTTAGCAATTTTGTATACCAGTCTTCTCTCCTCAATCGGTGGACTCGGGCCAGTTTCCAACAATAAAATCACAAAACAATCATTAGAAACATCATATAACATGTTCAATTAAAACATAATAGTCCAACGTGCAGCAGCCAGATTGCTAACAGGGGCGGGGTACAGAGACCATACGACCCCTCTGTTACACCAGCTCCACTGGCTGCCGATCAGCTTCCGGGCACAATTCAAAGTGCTGGTTTTGACCTATAAAGCCCTAAACGGCTCTGGCCCAGTTTACCTGTCTGAACGGATTCTCCCCTATGAACCATCAAGGCTATTAAGATCTTCCGGGGGGGCCCTGCTCTCGGTCCCACCACCCTCACAATCACGGTTGGTGGGGACGAGGGACAGGGCCTTCTCGGTGGTGGCTCCCCGGCTTTGGAACTCCCTGCCACTAGAGGTTAGATCTGCCCCCTCCCTCCTGACGTTCAGGAAATCACTAAAAACCTGGCTCTGGAATGTGGCATTTGAGGACTGAACCTAGAACCTTTCCCTGTGATGAATTATGATGAACTGTGACTACGAGCATGACTATGACTTTGACTGGATTGACGATTTGGCGTAGGAAACTGTAATGATGTAATGATGATGTTTTTATTGTACTGTGTTGTACTATTTTAATATGTAATGATTTGTACTTGTTGTTCTTTTATATGATTGTACTTTATATATGCTGTAAACCGACCTGAGTCCCTCCTCGAGGTTGAGAAGGCCGGTATAGAAAACCTCTAAATAATAATAATAATAATAATAATAATAATATAACAGCAAAATGCAATCACATAATAACAATGGTCAGTCGTCATAGTGAATTCGTTGTCCATCATTCATCGTCATCTATCCGATCACAGAAATATTGATTCACTCGTCGAAAGCCAAACCCCATAGCCAGGTTTTCACCCGTTTTCTGAACGACAGAATGGAGGGGGCAGTTCTGATCTCCAGTGGGAGAGAGTTCCAGAGTCGAGGGGCCACCACCGAGAAGGCCCTGTCCCTCGTCCCCACCAGACGCGCCTGAGAGGCCGGTGGGACCGAGAGCAGGGCCCCTCCAGACGATCTTAAAAACCTAGATGGTTCATAGGGGAGAATACGTTCGGACAGGTAAACTGGGCCGGAGTCGTTTAGGGCTTTATAGGTTAACACCAGCACTTTGAATTATGCTCGGAAGCTAATTGGCAGCCAATGGAGCTGGCGCAACAGAGGAGGCTTTAATAATAATAATAATAATAACAACACTTTATTTGTACCCCGCTACCATCTCCCCAAGAGACTCAGTGCAGCTTACATGAGACCGAGCCCAAACACAAGAATACAAGCAATAATAACAACAATACAAGCAATTAAAAAACATAGACAATAAAATACAGAACATTATCAATAAGACAACACACAATTAAAAACAGTGGGAAGGCCAAATGTAGAGTTAAAATTGGAAATAATGCTGGGACATGGGCGAAAGGTGATACCAGTGTTTGTGGAAGGGCATATGAGCAGACCTAAAGAAATGTAAAGTGCTTTGGAGGACAAAGTGCTATGGGATCATTATTCCGGGAAGGCACACTGGAACAGCCACGTCTTCAAACTCCTCCTGAAGACTGCCAGAGTTGGAGCCTGTCTGATGTCTTTAGGGAGTGAGTTCCAGAGTCGAGGGGCCACCACCGAAAAGGCCCTCTCTCTCGTCCCCACCAAACGCACCTGCGAGGCTGGTGGGATCGAGAGCAGGGCCTCTCAGAATGATCGAAGGGATCGTGTGGGTTCATATACAGAGATGCGGTCACGCAGGTAGACAGGTCCCAAACCATTCAGGGCTTTGTAGGTAGGAACCTGCACCTTGAATTGGGTTCGGTAGATGAATGGCAGCCAGTGGAGCTCCTTGTCAAGTTATACAGGATGAGGCAGCATGACTTCCTTTTTTCAAAACGTAATAAAACCCATTGTATGAATCAGAATTTTTTTATATATAATGTAGGCGCATACCTAAAGTTTTGTTTTACATAGTTTTGAAGATCAAATTAGGTCGGTGACGTCCCCCATTCTCCATTCTCCATACATTGAGTAAACCGATTTCTGGCGTTTGTCACGACTCTTTGCCAGCATAGCAGTCATTATGTTGGCAATTTCTTCCTGGATGTTGGTCTTCAAATCTTGTAGGGTCCTTGGACAGTTCACATAAACACGGGATTTCAAAAAACCCAATAGCAGTTTAAGTGGGTCCGAAGTTTATTTGTGCACTACTTTAGCCTACCTGCAAGTCTGTTTTTATTTTGTGCTGTACCAACAGAGTCCCTTCAGGGCTAAATTGGTAGGCTAGTAGTGATAACTTGATGTTTTAAATGCAGAATTCGACGAGGCTATGGATTTGCTATCGGTGAATGCCAATGCCACCACTTCTAGTGTTGGTGAAAAGCAGAGCCACACAACTCTGGATATGTCTTCCAGCTATAATGAAGAGCCTGAGCCTGAGGAAGAGGATGATAAAACTGAGGTGAGTCTCTGCCAGATGCTACCCTAGCTGCTGATGAATAGCTATTCTTGCTTCTGTCATTGGATAGGGAAACTGGGGGTTTGGTTTCTTGGCTATGAAAATAGTGACAATTACCAGGACTGCTTTACTTTCAGAAAGAGTCCTAGTCTTACAACACTTTCTCCTGACCAAAGGCAAAACAGTAACCTATGCTCTTTTCTTTGCAGCTACTGAGTTTCCAGAAGAAACAGTCCAGTTTCTGGACCTTTGAATATTACCAAGCATTCTTTGATGTTGACACATATCAGGTAACAGAACTTCTTTGGCTCTGATTACAAAAAGACAAGAACCAAAAGTATTTGGTGAGAGACAATAGTGTAGGGATGAAGCCTGCAAATGTACACTGGGAATTTTAACAGGGTTTTGAGCTGGTGTTTGAGAGGTTCTGAGGCTTCAGTCAATCAAGAATGGCCAAAGGAAAGTCCCCTTTTCCAGCTGTTATTTCAGTCTCCAGAGTTTCACAGAGGCTCCAAATGCTAGGGCAATAATTTCTTGGTTTTAAAACTGCTCTTCATTAGTTGCATGAACAGAGGGAATCACAGGGCTGCACCAAAGCCCACTTACTTACTTACTTAGGCGATCCCTCATTGGCCGAGTTAGGGTCTTGTTCAGCCACCTCTAGTATGTTTAAAACCATTCTGGTTTAACAGTCTGCTTGGAAGGAAACCTCCTTGGTTTTCATGTAGAATTTTTCCATGCCTGAACACGTTTGTCTAGCACAAGGCATGGAACATGGGTTTGCAACACCCAGTAGTTCTTCTGTCAATTGAAAAGAAGATTACCCTCGATCAATGAGTATTCATCACACTGTCCTTGGGAGTCATGTTGCTTACTAAGGAGCCCCCGGTGGCGCAATGGGTTGAACCTGAAAGGTGGGCGGTTTGAATCCAGGAAGTAGGGTGAGCTCCCGTCTCGCAGCTCTAGCTTCTCATGCGGGACATGAAAGGAGCCTCCGTGCGTCCCCTGGGTAACGTCCTTGCAGATGGCCAGTTCTCTCACACTAGAAGCAACTTGCAATTTCTCAAGTCACTCCTAACACACACACAAAAAATGTTGCTGATGCATGCTCTTCCAATTTATCAGGTGCTGGACAGGATAAAGGGGTCAGTTCTTCCAGTGCCGGGGAAGAACTTTATATGGCATCGCTTGCGGCATAACCCTGACCTCTATGGTGAGTATGCAGAAATTCTTACTTTAGCAGAACTCGCTCTCCTGATTCAAAGGCTTTCCACCTAAGGGTAGCATGAGGGCCCAAGACTAAGACTGCTCCTTACTCCAAAACTGTGCAGCATGTCATTATCCTGAGCTGTCAGAAATGAACAGGGCAGCAAAAACAGGCTCTCTTAATGTAGTTCTTTTCCTTTTAGTTCCTTCATAGCTAGCCTAGAGCCTCATCAGAGGACATCTGCAAACAGGGATAGAAAGGGTCATGGACATCTGTTGCCATTCAGGGCAGACAATATAGGGTGGATGGAATAGTGGTCTAGTTCATCTTTCAAACACCATTGGGACGAGGGAGAGGGCCTTCTCGGTGGTGGCCCCCCGACTCTGGAACTCATTTCCCAATTTACATCAGACATGCCACAACTCTGGCAGTCTTTAGGAGGAATCTGAAAACGTGGTTGTTCCAGTATGCCTTCCCAGAATAAGGAAAACTCTCGGCAATATGCTCTCAACATGCACTTTACCACTGATTTAGGACTGACTGCGGAGCCCCCGGTGGCGCAGTGGGTTAAACCCCTGTGCCGGCAGGTCGCAGGTTCGAATCCGGGGAGAGGTGGATGAGCTCCCTCTGTCAGCTCCAGCTACCCAAGTGGGGACATGAGAGAAGCCTCCCACAAGGATGATAGAAACATCAAATCATCCGGGCGTCCCCTGGGCAACGTCCTTGCAGACGGCCAATTCTCTCACACCAGAGGCGACTTGCAGTTTCTCAAGTCGCTCTGACACGACAAAAAAAAAAAGGACTGACTGCGTTCCCCTCATCTCTCTTTGAAAACCCTATACCAGTTATATTCTGCCTTGTTCATGTCCAGCGTTATTTTTTAAATTTTAAATTATTACATAGGTTATTAGATGCTTGTGAGTTACTGTTTATTGTTTATTATTTATGTGATTTATATTGTATTGTATTGATTGTTTTTGTTATTGCTTTTGTTATTGATGTACTGTGGGCTTGGCCTCATGCAAGCTGCACCAAGTCCCTTGGGGAGATGATAGCGGGGTATAAACAAAGTATTATTATTATTATTATTATTATTATTATTATTATTATTATTGAAGAATATGGATTTCCTTCCACAGCACCCTTAAGTGCTATGCTGCGTTGTCTTCCCTTGTAGCTTTCCTCGCGTCTGGATATGATGAATGAATCCAATAATGCTATACCTTTAAGTGGTGGTATTCTGTATTCCTTGTCTTTTTCTATGAGGAAGAATCCTTCACTCCCTCTTTTTGATCTTCTGAGCTTGTCCTTCTGTCTGTTTACAGGACCCTTCTGGATCTGTGCCACCTTGGTCTTCACACTGGCAATCAGTGGCAATTTATCTAACTTCCTGGAGAAAATGGGCAGTCCTTCCTTCCACTACAGCCCCCAGTTCCACAAAGGTGAGGGTTTTGACATTGAAACAGTTTGTACATAGTCTTTAATTTAATGTCAAGTTTAGCTTCTTTAATATTGGCTGTTGTAGGCACAACAGGCAGGGCATTCACTTGCAAAAGAAGGCTCCATTTTGTTACCAAATCTTTTTACAAGTAGGAAATACTAATACTGTATTTTTTCAGTTCTAAGATACATTTTCTTTCCTATGTAAATATCTCTAAAATGGGGCATGTCTTAGAATCACAGGTGTATCTTCTGTTGTTTTATTAGTGACTAGCTGTCCCCTGCCATGCGTTGCTGTGGCCCAGCCTGTGTATATATGTTTTGTGTGTGTACATATGTGTATCTGTGTGGTTTTACGCATGTGTAATGTATTTTTTATTTTTTGGTTTTTAAGTCTCTTCTGCTTTGTTTTTCAGTGTTTTTATGAGTGATGGTCATTTGTTGGCCTGATAGGTGTATTGTGTCCAAATTTGGTGTCAATTCATCCAGTGGTTTTTTAGTTATGTTAATCCCACAAACGAACATTACATTTTTATTTATATAGATGTTACTGAAATGAGGCTGTGTTTTACAATCAATGATGTCTTACAAATGAAGAAATATGGTAGTAATGACTTCCTTTCTTCTCTGGGATGTGATAGAGAAAAAACATATGACATTGAGATGTCAAAGTCATAGAATCATAGAATCAAAGAGTTGGAAGAGACCTCATGGGCCATTCAGTCCAACCCCCTGCCAAGAAGCAGGAATATTGCATTCAAATCACCCCTGACAGATGGCCATCCAGCCTCTGTTTAAAAGCTTTCAGCCTCTACTTCCTTTATTTCATTCTCACATAGTTAGAAGAGACATACACACATGCACATACACCTACCTGCTCTTCGCCTTTTGTATCAGAGGACTGCTTTAAAGGTTTCTGGGCATTTTATGGAGTAGTTTTAGGGAATGCCTATGCTTGCCCCCTCCTGGGGTCTATGGAAGGTTGCAATAGAGTATTTTTAAGCCATACCACACTTTAGTACCCACTAGTGCTACTCATCAAGTGCACTTTTTCTTACACTGTGGGTCCTGACTCCAAATGGGGACCCCTTAGCTTAGTGTTGGATGCTGTTTCAGACATTGACAGAAACCTTTTGTGCAGTGTTTACAGTGTACTCTTGGAGTCCTTGGATCTTGGAGTCCAAGTTAAACATGAGCCAACAATGTCATGGGCAGCAAAAAAAGCCAATGGGATTTTGACCTGCATCAATAGGAGCATAGTGTCTAGATCTAGGGAAGTAATGCTACCCCTCTATTCCTCCTTGGTTAGACCACACCTGGAATATTGTGTCCAATTCTGGGCACCACAATTCAAGAGAAATATTGACAAGCTGGAATGTGTCCAGAGGAGGGCGACTAAAATGAACCATGGTCTGGAGAACAAGCCCTATGAGGAGCAGCTTAAGGAGCTGGGCATGTTTAGCCTGAAGAAGAGAAAGCTG